CACATAGTTCTGCCTCAAGCCTTGGGTGGTCACCCAAGCCACGTTGATTTGGTGTGGTATTTAAAACTCGCTGCAGCCTGCTTCAGAGGGACTGTAACCACCTCCCCACCTCGCCAGCCAGGCAGTCTGAACCGTTTCCTCATTTGGCCTTAATTTCTCATTAAAAATAAAACTTTGAGGCTTGTCAGTCTCACTGCGCTGGAAGGTCAGGAGTGGTTAGATACGCTTGTCCTGTTGGCTCTTTGTTTGGCACCACAGTGAAATCTGCTATCACAGTTGTTCAGGTAGAGAAGTGTCCAGCTGGCCGTGTTTTATGAGCAAAGAGAGCCGACACGTGGGCAAGCAGTGGCGAGTTTGGGATGGGTAAGTGGATATAAACTAGCTCCGCTCTGGCACGTTCCCCAGAGCTGGTGGGAAGTCCTCTTACAGTTATCGCTGGTGTGGGTCGGTCATGCAGCTGACTCCCTGCCGAGCAAGAAGACGTGAAGCGGTGAGGCTGGGATGTGCTGCGTTTGCTGGCACACTGCTTTGCCTCCATCCTCCGTGCTTCAGCAGGGCTAGCAGCGCTAGCATCGCTTTGAAGAGCTGTGCTGCAGGAAAAAAGTCTCTTCTGGGGACCTGTCACCTAACCTACCAGCTGAGCTGGCTGTACTTTGAGCTCAGATAAACAACGGAACACCTTTTGAAGCGCCGCTTGTTGGATTGCAGCCGGTTCCTGACTTAGAGGAGAAGCATCAAGGGGTACAGAAAGCTTGCTGCTGCTGTGGGCCAGCATTGTACAGCTGAAGGAGCGAGGAGGCAGTCTCCAGCTCAGGCTTCTGATCCCTCTTATCTCCCAAGTTTTGCATCTGTTCTGCCTGAATGGTAGATGAGGGCTGTACCGAGGTAGGGGACCCTTTCTAAATCACAGCCCAGCCCTACAGGCGTAGTGATAGGGGAGCAATCGATGCGAAACAACCTCTTGCTTTCTGCCTAATGGCTCCACAGGACAACGAGAGGTGTCATGGGAGTCCTCAGTGTTCCCCAGGTTATCCAGGTAGTTGGGCTCTGTCTCTTGGAGGAGGACTTGCTGGCAGAGCCGCTCACGACAGCACGTTGGTTCTGGCAGTGCCTTCTAGCCATACCGGGAGCTTTAGTCTGCGGTGTTCAAGAGACATATTGACATCAGCGTAAGTCTGAAATTCTTCCCTGGTTCTCTGCTGCGGTTTTGCTCACCTGGAGACCGTGTTCAGCTATCACCCACCCACAGGGCCCGATCCACGGAGTGACTGCTTTGACCCAACTGTGAGTCAGTGCCCTGGATGTTCAGACCCATCCACAGTTGGTGCATGAGTGCGGTGCGAGAACTTCATTTTGTACTGGAATATGTCCAGCTGCTGGAGCTTTATGAGTGTTCCTGCGTTTGCAGCATCAAGGAAGATTGACAGCCTTTCACTTAGCTGGTTTTTAATTTAAAAATGCGCTTCTCTTCAAAGATTTTGTCAATCCAAGGAGTGATTACTCCAGGGTTATTGCTGAACTACCAGCGTTTTTGAAGGTCAGCATCTGCATATTGGTCTCAGTGTCTTCCAGTATCAGAACAGATGTGTCCCTTTCTATTGTGTAACTCCTTTGTGGATGTACAGGTTTTTTTCTGTTCTCACCCAAAGGCTTTTTTGTCCATACAGATTTTATGCAGTCCTGCTTTACTTTCAAAGGCAAGCCTGGGTCTTGTCTCTGCATGGAAAGTGGGGATTGCAGCCACTCTGCTGCTCGAATTCCTCCTAAGCGTTGTTTTTTTCCAGGGTTCAGTGTGAATGTGTTTTAAAATGTTAAATTAAGCATTTACAGCCAGTCCAGCACACAGAATCACAACTGTTCGGGCTGAGACCTCGGCTTCATGCTGCAGACCATCGTGAGAACCCAAAATCAAGACCCTGTCCCTTGGTACTTTTCATGGAATGCTCACCTGGAGTTCTGCGCAGTGTGTTAATTGGGGTGTGCTATGTTCAAGATTATGGCAGTAGACCTGTCCCAGTGTTTATGCTGGTTTGGGAGGGTTATTTTTTTGACCCCTGGCTTCCTCTTTAAATTGGAATTTCAGTTTTACATGGATGCTTATGCTTGCTTTGTCTTCTGTATGTAAAATAAATACAGAGCAAGTCAGTATTATTGGAGGAATATTAGTGCTTTATCACTGCAGGTGACGACATTTAAAATAAAGGAGGTTTGATTTCAAATAATAAGTTGGAACTTATTTCTGGGTCAAGAAAAGGAAAAATGTTGAGCAGAGTTGCTCTTGGCCTGGGCAGTTTGTGTCTGTAGGAGAATGAGACTGGGGGGACCTTGAAGAGCTGCAAGAAGATGTCGCAACAACCTGGGAAACAAGGAGTGCAGGGAGAAGAATGTTTGTGTTCTTTCTTGAAGAACAACTGTTTCATTTGCAGAACTGGAGACCGAGGACAATGTGAAAGAAGGGATTGTTCCTTGCCTGGGTGAACGCAAAGATGACAGAGAAGAATTTCAAATCTCTAGCACAGGAGCTGCATGAGCGGACAACCTAATCTCATCTCCCTGGGTATCAAGTGCAGCTTAAATGCTGAATGTGAATGAAGAGTTGACCAAAACCTTACAGGTGGTTTTGCAGCACAGCCTTGTCCAACCAGCTGCAGGTGGCTGTGGTAGAAGGTCCAAGGAAATAGATGAGATGATCAGAAAACCAAAATGAGAGAAGGCAGAGGGATGTCTGTGTCTAGCTGGGTTAGAGAGAGTCTGTGTCCCAGACACCAGAACAAAGAGTCTTTCATTCAGCAGGTTTACTCATTACCGTCCTATTCTTGTTACCTGGTGTCTTCCCCCATCCTCTCTTCTATTCTGCTTTATCAGAATTTTAACTTCCCCCCCGCCCCCCCCCCCCAAGAGAGATATGGGATTTAGAATCAGAATTGCTGCTCACTGCAGCTCTCCAGTGCCGGCATAATGGATCCGTGACCTGATTTAAACCTGAGAGCGCTGCCATAACGTAAATATTTGATGGAGCTACGGCTTCCCTTTTTAAGTCTGTTTCATTTTTTCAAGCTAAAGCATGGCAAAGTATTCCTGAAAGACACTTGTTAGCGGGGAGTTGTTTATGCAGTTCTCGGTGGTTCTTTTGGAGATTGTTCTGGCTTCGGGCATCATTTCAGCCTTGCGTTGTATTTATGCAAAATCCAAGCAGTACAAGTAAACATGAAATTATATTTGTGTCATAATACATGGTAGAAAAGGGAGTTAAATCCATATGTCAGCTCTTACCCCAGATGGGAACCATGCTGTCACTCAAATCGCGATCACTCCTTGTTTGGGCAGGGATGGTACATCAGTTACTGCAGCGTCTCGCCCGGAATGTCTGGGTAAAGGTGGTGAAGGTAGGGAATTGGCTGAATGGTAAACAGTGATGTGTTTCTACACTACTTGGGCTGCTCTGGAGAGAAAATTTCTGTGTGCTTTGCATCCTGGAAGGAGTTTTTAAATGGATAGAGTCAATATCCCAGACCTAAATTTCTTACTCATTTTTATAAGCATTTATAAGCATTTTATAACCTTTGTCAGAAGGAATAGTTGCTATTAGCTAAAGTAGATTTCTGCTTATTGCAGAAAGGGGTGATTCCCACATGGGTGGTGTTTGTAGGGCTTTACGGGCTGCAGGATGGCAGTGCAACAGAGGAAAGAAGGTTTTTATTTTACATTCTGAAAAAAAGCAATGCTGAGATCTGGAAGCAGCTTAACCTGGTACTGAACAAGGGTCGCAGCAGCCCTGCTGGGCAGAGCCCAAATGATTCGGCCAAACCAGCAGAAGTGTATGGGAATACTGGATCCATTTGGCAGTGAAATAATTTGGAAAACCCAGTTTTGTCTCCCTGAACCATTCTGTGCTGGGGATGTGTCCCACACCTGGGTATTTGGGGTCCTCCTATTGAAATGAAGGGGAAGAGTTTGGAACCTGAAATCTGCATCCACTCACAGCCATCGTCTGAAACACTTAGCTTTTGGGGTGGATGTGCTTTACTTCTACACAGGCTATGGTGTGAAGTATGATGTGTTATAATTCCTTTAATATCATTGTTTTATAAACTCTATTTGTGGGAGAAGAGGGGAGTGTTTTTGAGGTGCTATCTGTCTTGAACTCGAGGATAAAGTAGGCAGCTGGAAAACACGGCTTACCTCTAGCCGCTGCTATCAGATACAGCCTCTAAAGTGTGAGGTATCTTCTGCCGTGATGTTAAGTCTTGAAACCACAGGATTATTTTTTTAACAATTTAATTTGCAAGTCGGAACAAAGAAAGCGCTATCAAATCTAAAAGTCTGAAATGTGGACAAAGCCAAGATGAGCTTTCTTACTGTAGGCCTTGGATCTGAGCTGTTTTCTTTTCTAGGAGACCAGAGGTACCAACTGATGAAGTAATTGCTGTATTGATGCAAAACTTGGAAGGATTAGCTCCCTGCATGAGTCTCTGCTCCTGAATGGCTTACAAATGTAGATTAATGTTGCAACTTCAAGTTCATAGAAAATCTTTGTTGGGAAACATTTAAAAAAAAAAAAAACAGAAAATCTTTGTTGGGAGACATTTAAAAAAAAAAAAAAATCTTAATGCAAATGTTGAACTTAAGTTTTGTGTTTAGACTTTATTCAAAAAGATCCTTGCAGCTTTTAAAAACACTTCATCAGATGTGGGTGCTTGATTGTGCTGACGGGCAGTTCCTTTCAAGATAATACTGAACCACAAAACCTTTGCGATACGGTTGCACTGTAAGCAGAGGGTTTTGCTGAATTTCGAGGGAATGGCTGAGGACCCTAGGGTCAGAATGCTGCCTGTGTATTTTAAAGGTTACATAGCTATATATAGCTAAGGTTGGGTTTTCTTTGAAACTAGTGAGATGAGTCCTTGTTCAGTAAATTCCAGACTTCTCTTGTAAAAACAAACAAAAAAAAATAATATCTTTGGCTGTTTTCTGCTATTTACCAGTGTGTCTCTTTGCAGGATTCATGAATAAAATTTTCCATCCCAACATTGACGAAGCGTAAGTAAATCCCCAGTGTGTGGGGTTTTTTTTTTAAGGAGTTTGTCTAATTGTAACTATATTTTGGCTTCACGATGTTATGCTGATGAGTTGGAGAATGTTTTCATCAATCGTAAGAGTCCAGAGCGAGGGATTTGGTAGAAGTAGGTGTTTGTCACAAGTTAATTTTCAGGAGTAGTTCAGGCTGTGGGCAAGACTGGAGAACCGCATGCTGCAGACTCTCTTGCAGATGTTGTCTTTGTATTGCAATATGCTTCATTTACAGAAAATTCAAGGTTGCCAGTCCCCCTCCTCTTTGGCATTGTGCCGGCTTTCTAGAAACAAGGAGCAGCATTGGCTAAGCCATAGCTCCCTCTTTAGCTGGAGTTCACGTCTATACTAAAATTCTTCAAAACATAAGATGTTTTGCCATGTTTTATTTCAGTTAAGGTTGTTAAGGGGAGCCACCTATGCTTCAATCTCTCCAGCAGAGCCCCATATGGACCAAGTAATTCAGTAAAGGCTCCAATTTGCTTCCTTTTGTGCAGAGTATGAAGATTCATGTAGTTAAAGGCTGCTCCTCTATTAACCGCAAGAGAGGGGTAAATCATAGCTTATCTGAAATTGTGGGGCAGAGGCAGGGCAGGGGAAGGGAGGGGGAAGATTATATTAAATCCCCAGAGTATTTTTGAGTGTGACTGTGTTTAATTCCATCCTTTCCATATGTTTCAGGTCAGGAACTGTATGTCTAGATGTAATCAATCAAACTTGGACAGCTCTCTACGGTGAGTTTGGCATCTCCCCGAAAGCTGATCACGTGAACATCCGTATTTGGTGTGTTAACATAACACAGTTTGCTGGAGACAAATGATCTTAGGCCAACTTCTTTTCTTTTTTTTTTTTTTTTCAACTGAAGTTTAGACTCCTCACTGAGCCAAGATCACGTGAAAAATAAGATTTTCATGTGCAAATACTTTTCGTAAGCTGTCTCTCTGCCAGAGAGGCAAAAAGATTCCATAAACCTCACAAAGGATCGCTCAATCCATTGCCAGACAATGCCAAGCAACTGCACAACAGCACCCTGCCATGATTCAGCATTGAAAGAGAGGAGTGACTATATCTAAAGTGAAACCTAGTCCCAGCTACCCCATCCATGTTTTGTATGTGCATTTGAGCTGGTATTCTTTGTACACAAGGCTATGATCCCACTTCTACAGAAGATGGCACCAGAAACCATTCCTGTTTGTCATGACAGCATCATTTCGTTGCAGGCTAGGAGGTGGTATTGCATCTAATGACTGCGCTGCCTGCTGCAGAATGTTTTGTGTTTCCAATTAGGTTGTTTCTGGCTATAACTGTCCTTTTTAGAGATATAAAAGGATCAGCCAGTAGCTGAAGATCTGTTAAAATAACATTTAGGGAAAGCTGAAATTGTTAAAAGCAATACAGCAGAGTATCTGCTCTGGGTTGGCTTCATTTTTAAAATGTGAACTTCTTCAGATGTTCCAGTTGTGCTTTGTGGAAGAGTATTCAGGGAATGTGCACAGCAAACCCTTCACGTTCTTCCACAAAAAAACTGATTTTTACCTATGTAAGTTGAAGCTTTGAAGCAGTTGCTAGAGAGACGAGCTACTTCACCTTCCTCGCACGCACAATTTTGTGAGGAAATAACCAGACTTGGTGAATCCTGGGTGGGAAATTGCTATAGCAACTTGTTGAACTTTACTCCTCATCAGAATGCCTGAAGTCTTCACGTAGTAGTTGCATGGCATACACTTCACATGGTTTTGTTGTGAGAGATCAGCACAGCCGTGACCGAGGTGGTGTTGCTAATGGAGGAAGAGGATGCTTTTGTGTCCTGGGAGGATCTGATGCGAGGCGGAGGAATTAAAGCCGTATTAGCAAACCAAGCCCTCTGCTGGGGATGAACCTGCATGGTTCAGTCGGCAGCAGAATCCGGGACAGTGCAGCGTGGGCTGCTGTTCCAATCTTTACGTGCCACCTGCAGATTGTGAGGATGATTGGACAAAAGAAAATCACTCCAGTGTAACTGTGGAGTTGGTTTTTGTGCTCTGGGTTTCTGCACTATTTCCAATTTCATAGGAAGGGTTTCTGTGAGAGGTTTCCTAATGAGCGCTGCTATATTTTTGTCATCGTTATTGCTTGTAAAGGTAGAAAAATCAGTTTGGTATTTACTATGCTTGTGATGTATTAATATGAGCAAGCCTGCAAAATCTTCTGCGTTTTTCCTTGCGGTACCAGTGATGGGTGTTAGGTAACTTGAAGGTCTCAGGTGTGTGTTCTGTACAGAGCACCTTCCACAGTAACTGGTGAAACTTGCCATTAGAAAGCGCATCGCTTGACAGTCATCTTATTGCAGACTTCCCTTGCCTTGCTGCAGGATGCCTTGAAGCTGCAGGGAGGACACTGGGGTGACTGCAGTCGCTCTGCCCCTTCACTCAAAAGTCACCAAGCACCAGAGTGCCAACGTCACCCCTTCACTTCCAGGGCTTTGCCTTCTTGTGTGAAATAAGGAGGTGGCCCATTTCTGAACGTGAAATGAAAAGGGGGAAATAATATTTCCTGGTGCCTCTCAGCACAGCTGCGTTGTTTGGAGTGTCACCCCTTTAAACCAGAGTGCTCTTGCGCTGGCAGAAGATATGGGTCAGATAATTCAAGGAGCAACTAAGGTGGAAGAGACCCAGAATAGCTACCAATAAATTCATGAGGACCTCGTGGTTAAATTCCCTCTCCTTCCCTAATGAAGTATCAGGTCCTTAGCGCTATGCTTAGGTTTCCTGCACGCATTCAACTAGTTCCTGCTAAGCCAATGCCACTTTGGGGGATTTGAAAGAAAGAGGAAATTATTGAGTTCTCTTAAAAAGGAGGAATCCTTGCAGTGTGTCCTGTGAGCTGTGGTTGACCTCCGAGGGCTCTGCTTGCTCAGCCTATGTTAAAGTTTAGTTGTCTAATGGCCACAAAGAGATACTTGATCTAAGCCTGTACCATGGAGAGATTTCACCCAAGAGCAGGTGGTTTCCCAAACTAAAGTCAGCTTCTTGCTTCCAGTGTCTGAACGAAATCCCTAGGAGGTTTAACTGGCTTACCAAGGGCAAGCCACTACCGTGGCAGAAAATATTCTTATAGAGCATTCTCGCTGGTTTTTGTGGTCCCTTTTTGGATTAGGATCTTTCCAGTTGCTGTCGTGCTTTATCCCAAAAGCAGCTGGTGGCACCTGGCCGTTCAGCGTGCCAGCCATGGAAAACTTGCCCAAGGCACCATGTGCAGTCTGAAGTGTTTCATCCCTGTCCTCAGCCAATGTTGGAAGGGGCAACAGCTTCTACGTAGCAGAAAGAGATTTCAGAGTAAAACCACCGAAGTTTTTAGTGGTGTCCTTGTATAGCAGGTACCAGCCGATGGCTATCTGTAGCAATCACTGCCATTGCTTTTTGCAATTGGGTGATGCAGTATCAGCTATAATGAACCCTACGCTCCTGATGGGCGACCGAAGAAGTCATAGCACAGTGTTTGTATGTTCCAGACATGTTGATGCAGGAGGGAAGAACTGACAAAACCTTGAGTCTCCTTTAATCCTCTTGAGCAAGCTCTGAAAGCGCATTCTGAAAGCACACCCGTTGGTAGATCTGCAGAGGTGATAATGTGGGGCAGTGGTGAAGATCTGCCTGGATCTACTGTGCGGATCTTCCGAGGGCCCAGAACTGGAATAACCATGTGAACAGGGAGAACATTTGGAAATCTCTCCCCATACCTGCCCACCCATTTTTGATGAATCTTTAGAAATTTAGCAGCTCTGAGGTCCTTGCCCACCATCAGATCTGGCTGAATTTAGCAGCTTCATGAGGCTCGGCGTTGGCTGGGCTCAGGAATAGTCAGACAGCCTCGTTCCCTGTAAGCAGCAGGTTGAGATGGCCAACTGCTTGTGTGGTGGATCCGAGGCAGCATTGGGCTTCCCTTCTGACAGCTCTACTTTGATCCATGCTAGAGGGGACTGGTGATGCTCATCCACAGGTGGGATTTCTCTGCCACCAGGAAAGGGATGCTCCCTTTAATTAGGGAGGAAAGGGGGATCCTGATAAAAGACGTGTAGAATGTTCACAAACAAAAACCCAACAGGAAACCCCACACGACAAATGCTGGTCTGCCTGTATCAGCAGCTCTCCAGTGGCTAAAGCGAAACCTGGCGCCGCAGCCCTGCGCTGGGGGCTTAACCTCTGCTCTGCGTGGGTGCGCATGGTCCTGCCGAAGTCCTGAGGAGGAACGATGACGCAGGGCTTGTTTCTGAACACCCCCACCACTGAAGTGTGGTACTTGTTGTCTTAGGGATGTGGGAAGAGGGTTTCGTGTATCCACAATTACTCATCGGCACCAGAAGTATGTTTCCTGTTGTGGATTATTTAGTGACAGATGTCAACTGGCACCAAGGTGTTAATGTGAGCTCTTCACATTCTGCGAATTGTTTTGAGTTGGAGGAGGGACTTGTTGGTTGCTCTTTCTATTAACACAATCATTTGGAAGATGCTTTGTGCTCGAGATACATCAATTTAGTCATGGAGCATAAGACATTTAAAGACGGTGATAGAAGGAGGCAAAAGTAGGAGAAGAATTCAGTGAGGGGTGAAGCACAGTGCTTTGTTTTTCTTTTTTCCTTTTTTTTTTTTTCCTAAGCCAGGGCTGAGCCTCAATGGGAAACCAGACAATTGTGTCCTTCCACTTCTTTGCTTAACCCGCAGATACCTGTATCTACATTGCTGGGATGTCGAGTAGTTTGTGCAGTCAGCTGAGGAGCTGCAGCACACCTCCAGCAGCAGCAGAAGCTCTTATCAGCCCTGTGTGCGCTTTCCCTGAAGCCATTTACTTTATTTTAACTTGTACCCAGACCTTCAGTGCGTTTCTCCTTGAAGCTTTGTGCTGCTGTTTCAATGCCTGTGCTGTGCTTGCAGGATGATTAATCGGACTGACTCTGGGTCTGTGGACATGAACAACTGTGTCTTTCACTTGCAGATCTCACCAATATATTTGAATCGTTCCTGCCCCAGCTGCTGGCCTATCCTAACCCTATAGATCCTCTAAATGGTGACGCTGCAGCCATGTACCTCCACCGACCAGAAGAGTACAAACAGAAAATTAAAGGTAAGGGTATAAATAACGTATTGCGGAATGAGTGGCGTCGCTGTGATTCCACTCGGCGGGAATGAGGTCTTCGCTGTACGTTTGTATGTCAGTGCCCATTCCTTCCCATCACAGGGTCCCCGTCCGTTTTAAAGGGCGGTAGTCTGAAAGAAGGGGTGGAGGAATTCGTGCTGCTTGAAGACAAAAGCTGGTGTATGCAGTATATGGGGCAGGGTTTCTAAGTCATTAGCAGACCCTAAGCAGGGGAGGCTGTAAGCAGACTGGGTTAGGATTCAACATGATTTTGAGACATCAGAGAAACGGTTTGGAGGAAAAGGTGTGTGACCGAGGAAGGGACAAGGAAAAGCACTAAACTGAAATGGGGGCGTCCGTTTGCACAATTATGAATAGAAAGTGGCTTGTTAGCAGTTCTGGGGAGAGTTATTTGAGAGCAGCAATCAAGGAATTGGCGGTGATGCTGTTGCAGAAAGCACTTCTGTACTGTGACAGAGCAAGCATTTTTTGTTAATGCCAAGTAATCCTTCCTTGCTACTTCCTAGTGCAGCCCAGGCTTCCTAGTGCTGTGCCCAGTTCAGGGGCTGCTGTTTAAGAAAGCTGCAGACCTATTAGTAAGGTCTGGCAGGGTGTAACAAGGGCAGATGATCTTGAAGATGTGTCTGAAGAGGAGAGACGGAAAAAATTGGAGGAGTTTAATCTAGAGGACCGAACAGGGTTATGAGCTTTGACGTGTCAAAGGTGCCTTCAAAGAGGAAAAGAATGATTTATCCTGTGATCAGTGTGAGCAGGATGTGGTCACAGGCATGTAATTCGGCTGGGGGAGCCCATGCTAAACTTTAACAGTGACTGGTGAGGGTAGGTGAGCTGTGGCAGAGCTGGTGAGGGTGCTGGTGTGTCTGCTTCTGGAAGGATTGGAAGGACGTGTTAGACAAGGCTGAAGAATTGAGTCAGTACCTCCTTGGGATCAGGGAAGGCTCCCAGTAAGGAGACCCAAATGCTTTGGATAAGCCTGGCGGTAGAAGGACTGTCCTAGCAAGCTGGTACGTGAGATGCAATTTGAATTATGAAAGCACAAGAAATAAAACAAAAAATAAGAATTGCACTTTAAATTTGTGCTCTGCCTTCCCTAGAATCAGCTGCATGGTGACAGGAGCAGGGCACCATTTCCTGATGGGACGAGCCTATGGCAAAGCCATGGACTTTGTCTCCCTTCATCCGGTGAACAGAATCAGCCTTTAATCCAGTGGTGGGAAATTTACAGCCTTTGGCCCAGATTTGGTCTTCAGCTAAGTTTTTAGGAGACCATGACCACCTGATTTTTTTTTTTTTTTCTTCTTTTTTGGTTACTGAATAACTATAAGACTTGTTTGTCTGTGGGAGCCCTGCCAGAAAGGTTTGCAGGGCCTGTTCAACAAGGAGAGCCTCCATGGGCAGCAGGATCTAATCGTCTTCCTGGTGTGAGGTGGGGTAGCAGCTTTCCTAACGGAGCATTGTGAAAGCTCCCTCTTGTTCGGAGAGCGCAGGTATCCCAGAAAGACGTGGTATTTGGTGGTGGAGTCCTTCCGTCAGCTCCACCACGTCACTCCGGAGTGGTTCAACCTCAAATCCCTTTGTTCTGATGCGAAACGACTCTTCATCAGCTGCAATTTTTGTTTGAGGGCGGAACTACAAATGAGGCCAAGCAAAGCTGTGATTTAAATACTGAATTTTTCAGCCCACTTTGCTTGACTCCTCTGACAGCTGCATGACAGGATTGTAAGAACTACCCTGCAGATGTGGCCTGCTCAGTATCCTGAGGTCCATTGCCTGTTTTTTTTTAATACATGAAAAACCTTCCAGGCAAAATGGTTTGTCAGATAAAATCTTGAGGGCCAACACAAGGGTCAGTTAGGGTGTCCTCTGTGCTTTAGTAAAACAGGAATAAAAAAGGATATGCCCCTGAAGAAAGCAAATAAGCTGATGCTAGCCAACAGCAGGTGCTTCAAGGAAGATCTGAGGACATCCCTCAGGGAGGCTAAATGGGATGGTCTGCTCCCTCGTTTCAATCCTGACAGTCAGGTACAGGCAGTGAAGATGATCTGGAAGGAGTTTTAAGTGCTTGCAATGTGTCTCGTGTTCCATATACCCAAGAGTCCTGCCTCTGCTGTCTCTTCCCAGGCTTGCGTGACAAGTATAAGATCGAGCTAAACACTGTCATTCTTCATACTGTAGCATTTTTAAAAATAGCCTTGGACATGTTAAAATTGATGCAATGGATTGTAGCAGCTTCTCTGCTCTGGGAAACTCAGTAGTGCAAATACATAATTTATTGCTGCTTTTCTTCATTTTTTAGTTATGAGCACATAGAACAGTTGTTAGACATAGTGGTAGTGAAGAGATGGGCGTAGGCTTAGAGATGTGGCCCAAGATTTGTAGGTCCTGTGATTCTTGGTATGAGACCCGAACAAGTAAGGATTTATTGTGGAACTTGTAAATGTCCATTGATATTACCGATATGCAGCTGGAAAGTGTGATTTTTAGCATTAGAGCCTTCAATTAGATCAAGTAATCCGTGGACACAGAGCCAAGAGCTCCCTTAAGGTCTCCTTGACAGTCCTTGGTGAGATGGCTTGCCTGGTCACTGACAGAGCACCAGAGAGTGGGCTTCAGATATGCAAAAATGCCTCAACGTTGGCTTGAGTTGATCTGATGGGAATTGGTGCTTAACTCCCCTGTGCGCTGCGCTTCTTCCTCTTTGGTAGATCTAATAAGAAAATTTCTTTTTAGAGGGTGGTGGTGGTGAGTAACAGCAGCTGAAGGGTACTGAGGTTGAGTGTTTTCTGGGAGCAGAGGACATTTCTGGGAGCAGAGGACATTTCTGGGAGCAGAGGACATTTCTGGGAGCAGAGGACATTTCTGGGAGCAGAGGACATTTCTGGGAGCAGAGGACATCTCTGGGAGCAGTTCTCCCATCCCACATGTTGGCTCTGAAGTTCCAGTAGAGTCCTTTGAAATACCAGTATGGCCCCACAGGCACATACCAGCCATGGGGCACAACCACATCTTGTTCTCGTTGCTCCAGGGTTTCAAAATAGATGAATCAAAGCGGTGTTTCCCTGGTAGGAATGGGTGCATCAAGGCTTTCCCTTCTTCACATGAACAGGCTTCTGTGGAAGACAGTTTGTCAGTATTATTTAGATGTTGCTGTTTTCTTCCCTTAATAAACTGAAGATCCAAGTTCGGTACAACATTCAGCACAGAAGCTCCCTGGAAGTTTGACCTTTCCTAGATCCAACCTTCAGAAAAACCCAGCCCAGGGCCTTGGTAGCTTTCCTGGGTATAAGATGGCACTTTAAGTTTGAAGTGCTTCAAGTTGTGTTTTAGCATGGGCTCAAGCAGGCTTTTTCCAACAGTAAGAAACAGTGGCTTCCATGTCTGAATCACCAGTGGCCCAGAGAGCACTGGAAGTAGTCAGGGAAGAAGTGCTGCTGGCATCCTGTCCTGCCGTGGTCACTGGCTTGTGGCTACGGTGTTTGGGGACTCCTGAGGCAGCTGCAGCATTTGTTTAGGTGGGTTTGGGGTAAGCGTAGAGGGAATGTATTTCGAAGGTGCCTAGTAAGGGGTCACCTTTATCATCTGAAGGACATAACAGCTTACCCGGGTAGGCATCCCTTTTTCAGAGGGAGGTTAATTCTTGGAAAGCTATGGGAAGGGAGCAGCCGCTACAAGGATATCTCAGGTCGGCATCCCATCTCCTTAGCTCTGCTTGTCATCTACTGCCAACCCACCTTCCTATGTAAATTTGCTGAAGACACTCTGCTTTTTTGGGTCCCTCTCATCTTTAAACCATGACGTCTGGAGTGTCCATCTATTTTGGCAGATGGTGCCTGCCCCAGACTCTGCAACTCCTATTCTCCGGTACAGGCAGGAGACATGATCAGGCAGGTCCTAGGCTCCATAGTGACACAGGCGAGCACCTTCCAAGAAGGGGGTTCTCGGTGGCCAGGACCTGAGGATGGAGCACAGGAGTGCTTTTCTGTTGACGCTACATGGGCTCCAGCAGCCTGAGGGCTATAGGAGACCTTGAGTGCTCCATGCTTCCCGGTGTTTACATAGCTGCCTTCAATACTTTATCAGTTCTTAACACACTCTTGTAAAACAGATTTGAACAGCTGCTCCTGTAGTCCAAGTGAGCAGGTTAATAGTGTATATTAAACAGTTAGACTGAAGCCGCGTGCGTCATTAGATGGAGAAGCTGAAGCTCGCTGCGCTCAGAAGCACCTTCCAGCCAGCTCTCCCAGCTTTTCCAGGGTGGAGCAGGTCTGCCATGGCCACCAGCTGCTCCATCCTGGGAACTCCTCCACGAAGTGTTGGCTCCAGGTTGCTCTGTCTATACTGTACTCCTGAACCTGGAGTAACATGTCTGGGCTCGGTGTCCCTATGTCAACTCCGGAAACGTGAAAAAAACCACAATGATGCAGACTTCTTGCTGAGTATTTTCCCTCCCAGCTGGCTGGAGGTGCAGAGGGAAGGAGGGATGGCTTTAAGAACAGCCAGGCTCTGCAAAGCACAGTCTTTAAAAACCTGTGTTGTAGCACTTGGTTTTCTGGCATTAGATGCATCCTCCCGCAGCTTTGTCAGTGCGTCCACCTGCCGATATGGGATGGAATGAAAAGCGGTGATCTGTGCTCCTTGAGGAGAGATGCTCCTTGTGGACCTCATTCCCTGGGAGGAATGAAAGAACATACAGTTGGGACAGCTGCTGGGTTGGGACTGGGATGTGACATTGACGTTCTCATGCAGAGGCTCATCTTCGAGCTCAAAGAGAGGGTGATATTCCCTCTTTCTTCAGTTTTTTAATGCTGCTGTTTGGAGGAGGCTTTGTTGTATTTTAGTACCTTCGTATGTGGAGAGATAATGAGTTCGCGGCTGCAATTCCCCAACGGCAACGTGAGCACAACACCCCTCTCCTCCCCAAAGTCTGTGACCTGCAGTGTGGAGGATGTGCTGTCGGGATGCTGAGGTTACATCACTTCATACTAGGAAGCAACTTTCTCAGTGTGAGGTGGAAAAGAGGAGATAAATAAGAGGAAGACTTGAAGTTGAAGCTGAGTACCCTTTCTTTAGCCCAGTTTTGTGCCAGCCTTTCACGCCTGCTCCTCCCTGCACGCCTGCGTGCGTGTAAGGAATGGGCTTTCTCTGCTCGAGGTGGCCTGCCTGCTGGGGACACCAGCCCCTCCTCGGATCTCGGCGGGGACACTGCGGGAACCTCCAGCAGCCATAAAAGAAGGAAAGGCGTTGTCAGACTCAGTCTGACTGATCTGATCCACGTTGTGTTGCCTTTTTGCTCTGTCCCTCTGCACGGGGGTGACCGTGGAAGCCGCACAAGCCGTGGCTGGCAGCGGTTGCTTTGCCTGCCTGCAGGAATCCCAGTAAACCAGTTTTCCTGCTTGCTCCTGGCTGAAGTTCAAGGTGTTGATCTGGGTGCCTAGAGCCAGTGTGGTTTGGACCCCGCTGTGAGACACCGTTTCCATCGGTGACCTGCGGTGTGGTGGCCCTCTTCCCCGCAGAGGCCTCCCTGCGGGTCCTTCTCAGCTAATCCTACGGCTGCTCTCTGATGTGAAGCAGGTTGCGAGAGTTGTGCTTTGAAAACAGAGCCTGGGGCAGACTTGTGTTTATTTCGAGGCTGGGGAAGGGAGCTTTTGCTTTTTATTTAAAAAAAGAAAAAAAAAAAGGAAAAGAAAAAACAACCAGAAACAAACAACCCAGCAGCTATTCCTGCGGTAGTCTTCTGCTCTGCTTTTTTTTCTGTCCGTCCTTCTTTACGTTCTCCTTACGCAGAGTTTAGTCTGGCTCTCAGCTTGGCTTCAGTGGTGGTTGTTCTGTGCTATTGGTTTAAACTCTCAGATCTTCATTTCTTAAAGTCAGGCTGGATAACGGTGACATCTCGATGGCTTTTAGGCTTGTTCTCTAGGTTGCCACAGTAGCTCCTGTTTTGGCAGTCAATTGAATCCTGTCCTATTAAGTGAGATACACCATACTGGGGAGGACTTAGGTTGTTTCCAGCTACGGGGGGGGTGTGATGCTGATGTAGGAACCTTGGGATCGTACTTGTTTTCAAGGGTCTTGCACATCTCTAAGGTCTCCATCAGCTGTTTTACGCGTCGTTGGACAATGATGCCTTTGGTCTGAGGAATATGGTAATCTATATGACTTTCCAAACACGACGTGACCCAAATGGCAGTTAGTCACAGCTCATTCTTCCTCTGACTGTTGAATATATGCTGCTTATACGCCTTTTCTCTTCTCTCACGTACAGAATACATTCAGAAATATGCAACAGAAGAAGCACTAAAAGAACAGGAAGAAGGCACCGGGGACAGCTCGTCTGAGAGCTCCATGTCCGACTTCTCTGAAGACGAGGCTCAGGATATGGAGTTGTAGTAGAAGAGGCAACCTGCTTTTCAGAGAGACTCTAATTTCCTAACCATGAGAAGCAGACTATAATATTCATATTTAAACAAAGCAATTTTTTTTATTACTAAACAAGGTTTTTATGAATAATAGCATTGATATATATATATATCACCCTTTAGATCTTGATTTTCTTGGTCATTTCTCGAACCCGAGGTGCATAGCATATTCCCACATTCCATTTTGGTAGCAATATGCAGCCCGAATGCATGCATTCAGATTCCATTTGGCCAAGTCAACTTGTGTGCTACTGAACTGTCGGCTAAAACAGCTGCCCTGGTAGGTAGGGAGTTAGCAAAGATGTTTGCTTTCTTATCGATGTTTCCAAAGACGCCACCTTGGATGCTAACGTGGAACAGCGTTTTCACAAAAGTGTAAAATCTGGGGGATGATATACTAACCGTGGTAGAGCAGACAGTGGAATAAAAGGTGCTCCTTCAGGTCAACCTTGCTGATCGTATTTTACGTGGAGTCACATTTAAAAAAAGAAAAAAAAATAAAAAACAAACAGTACAAATGCATGGAGCTATTCAGAGCATTGAAGCTTAAAAATTTTGACTTGGATTTTAAGTCCGTTTTTATATGTGGACTCCTGCCTGCCCTTCTGAACTCTAGGGACTGACAACCACTGGTCTATTTGCTTTTGGGACTTTTGAAAGCCTTCATCTGGATGTTATTCACTTTCTTGGTCTGGATTACGAGCTGTTCCCTTTCTGGGAGGAAAAAAAAAAAATAAAAAAAGGAAACAAAACACCAACCAAACCACAAACGATGCTCTCTGAACAGTGCTTTGATTTAGCTGGAGCACATGTGAAGTCAAACTCTTACTTTGTCATAGTTTTGAAACTGCTGCCCTTTAATGGCTTCAAGTTTGCTTTTGGGGTTTTTTTTTTTGGGTTTTTTTTTTTGTTTTTTTCTCTCTTGCTTGAAGTTATGGTTAAACACCTCGCAAACACTCGCCATCTCCTACGAGGGTCCTCTCGCCAGATGGATTAGCCTTGCTGAGAGCTTCAGATCCACGAAGATTGGCCCCATTGGCTGTAGTCCACGAATCCATCGGCACTGATTTTATTTTCCTTTTTTTTTCCTCCCCCCTCCCCTCCTTCTGCACCAGCTTGGTAGCCATCTGCTTGTGTGTGTACAACAGGATTAAAATTTCTTAAAAGTTAACAAAAGAATATGATCTAGAAAAATTTGAGATGAATAATAAAAAAAAAAAGCCTAAAAGCACCAATCGAGGAAGCAAGTGAATCTGCTCTGTTTTGGTTTGGGTTTTTGTTTGGTTTTGGTTTTTTCTTCCAGGATGCTTCTGAATTGAAATGTTTGGTTTCTCCTGGTGTCCTGCAGCAAGCTGAGGTTTTTTGTTTGTTTGTTTTAATGCTATGAAATCTAATAGAGTAAATGTCTACCTGGGATGCTGGTATACTTGAATTTGGATAATTGTGCATTGGAGATTCAAACTAAGATGGATTTTTAAAGCTGAATGTTACCTGCTGTATTCTTTTGGGTTCTGTTTTTTTTTTTTTTTCGGAGGGGTTTGGACAAGATGTTTTAATTTGTGGTGCGACCTACAGGACAGCGCATGGAAAAATCAACCCACCCGGAGCAACTCTCGAGCAGAGTTTTGAATGTCAGACTGGTACATTTGTCATTTTCCCAGAATTATTATTATTATTTTTTTTCTTTAGAAATGCCACCGAGTTTTGAGTCATTGGGGTTGGAAGGTTACAATCCTATTTCTAATTCATAAAGCACAATCAATTTTTTTTTTTCTTTTGGGGAAAAAAAAAAAAAGAACAAACCAAACTCGTAAAGTACCACTTTGCTTTAGCATGATTTTTCCTTAATAAAAATATACAAAGAATTTCCTTTTATGTTAATTACGGGCATGAAGCAAAGGTTTTTCCTCTCCTTCTCCCCCCCCCCCCCCCTTTTTTT